TGTCATCTAGCGAGTCTCAACAATATTACAGTCGTGCGTAAAGGAGGACACCGAACGTATATCATATCTCCCAATCGCATCATACGCCCTCCGTATCTTGGTCACCGAGAAATGCCTGGCAATTATCCTACCCACGACCTACAGGCCTACGTCTAAAAGATGGACCACCCACCCCATTCCACCTACTACTATCATACTACTACCTCACTACTATTATACTATACTACTATCATACTACTACCTACTATACGTATCATATATACACTACATCAATACCCGCCCCTCACACCCGTCTTACTTATCCAGTGGGCCTAATCATCGAATGGACAGAATACGCACCACGCCCACGCCCCCGCCCCACCCCCCACCCCCCCGTACTACGGGCAGGCGTGGGAGTCGTTATATTCTCTCTCGTAGGCCTCGGCTAATATTGCATGCGGCGAACGACGACCCATCGCTACACCCAACGCTCTGCCGACCTGCGACAGCCGACGAGGACCCCGCCCTCCCTCGTCGCGTCGGCGGCCCAGAATACCGTGCGCGCCCGACAATATCTCTTTCCTCGCCTAGCTGGCTCCTTCCAATCTTCATTGCCCCGCCGCGCCCGCCCCCCCCCGCCTGCCCCCACCACTTCACGACCCTCGCGCAATGACAGGACTTTGAGTGGCACGTGGCCCGAACGAAACGCAACTGCAACGCACTTCACGTCTAACCTGCACCACCAGCCCCCCGCCGAAAACATGGTTACATATCGCTCGACTGCGCCTCCTGCCGCATCCCTCTCAGCGGGCGGTTTCTCGCGTCCTCTGTGATCAACACACCCCCTGTGAACGCCCACACACACACACCCCGCCACGAACCGTCTCAATTCGGCAAGCGTTAATCCAAACCGCATCCGCGAGTGCACCAGCCGTCAAACTCCGGCTGGCACACCGTCCTCGCATATTCATTCATCCTTCAGCAGGACGCCGCCCGGTGCGGCTGCCCCTCACGCCGTCGGCGTGCCCCTGCCGTCGCCGCTGCGTGCAGTGCACTGCAGTGGCTTGCGTGACCACGTCCCCGCCGCCGTCCTCTCCTCTCTCCTCCTTCCATCTCTTCTCTCTCCCTCTTCTCTCTCCTCTCCTCTTCCTCCTCTCTCTATCTCTCCCTCTCCCTCGTCTCTCCGCTCTCTCTCTCTCTCTCTCTCTCTCTCGCTGCTTCGCGCAATTTCCAAGCGAACTCGAGCGTATATCCTGGCAATACCAGCGTCTCAGAAGAGGGCCCGGGTGTTGCACGCACGCTGCCACTACCTCGGGTATGTAGTGAACGTGGATCGGATCTCCCCCTCGTGTACGAATCCCCACGCACCGGCCATCGCCAACGCATAAACTGGCAATACCAGCGTCTCAGAGGAGGGCCCGGGTGTTGCACGCACGCTGCCACTACCTCGGGTATGTGATGAACGTGGATCGGATCTCCCCCTCGTGTACGAGTCCCCATCGGCCATCGTCAACGTTCACGTCGCTGCCGATGACGGTCTTGTTTCCAGCCCCGAAATCTAATCATTGCCCTTATTCCCGGGCAATGTTTGCGCTTCTGTAATTGCGCCTGAGGGGGAGACTGGGGGGTGTGGCCCGCGGTAAAGTGATTTATGGGTATAAACCTGTGAATTGTCGTCTCAGATACGGTCAGCGTTCGCCCATGCAGGAAGCAGATTACGAAATACAGATGGGCTCATGAATCGCCCGATCGTGCGACATGAAATTTGTTCTCGGAGCACAGACCCTCATAAACTTAGCCGAATAATACCGGCCCGCAGTGTACACAGCGCAGCCAACTATATTGTACAGATGGATCTGTTTGAATAGAGGTCAGAATGAGCGGGTAATTGCTCCTATTGATGACACTCTTTATCAGACGACTTTGGCTCGAGTTTGCAGGCTCCGCACAGTCAATTTGTTATGTGTATACGGCGCTCAGAAAGTTCAATCAAATCAGACTCTCTATGGACAACGGGTACAGCACACTGCCACTTCTGAAGCCATATTGTCGACGGAAAGAATTTTAAGAGCTATCGCTCGAGCAGCTCTTGCGCGCACACGTCCCGCCACACGCGCGTGGTATTTCATATGCAGCCACGGCGCAGGACCTGGGAAACGGAGACGTACCGTGACCGGCATCGTTGGTTTCTGGCGGCCACGTGTCCTTGGAGTGTGGAATCTCGATTACACAACGAGTGCCCTCCCCCCATCGGTGCATCGTAGAGACGAAGTCTCACGCTACGGGCCTCGCAAGCACCTACTCGGGGGGAACTCGATGCATCACTTAATCAAAATGCGTGCACGTAGCGCGATTTAAGCTCGAGTTCGCGTGCGTGCGCGTGCTGATGTGCGTGCTGGTGTGCGTGCTGATGTTCGTGCGCGTGTTGGTGTGCGTGCTGGTGTGCGTGCTGGTGCGCGTGCTGGTGCGTGTGCCGGTGTGCGTGCTGGTGTGCGTGCTGGTGTGCGTGCTGGTGCGCGTGCTGGTGCGCGTGCTGGTGTGCGTGCTGATGTGCGTGCGCGCGCGTTCATGCGCGTGCGTTCTTCCTACATCTGAGCCTTGCGCTACAGTATACGCGCTCTAGTGTCAGATCTATAAATCTACTAGAGCATGGTAATGCCCAGCATAACCATATGCAAGCCCCGACGGTGAGCCGCACATGGCAGAAGTAGCGCATCGCTATTTACGACATTATACGCAGAAGAAAAAAGCTGCTTGACGTCAATCACAGTTGCACGCAGCGCTGAATTCGATTATGAACGTCTCTCTCAAACGCCGACCGTCGCAGGCGTTTGTCAATTAGCTTAAATCAAATATTTGCTAAATATTTCAGCTGACGTTTATTAACATTTTTTTTATTAAATCGATGGCTGCCGCCCACCATCAGTTATCGACCGCCGTCGGCTATCATCGGGTATTGTCGGCTACCATCGGATACGATCGGTTACGATCGACTACTTTCGGGTATCATTGAGTATTGTCGGCTACCATCGGATACGATCGGTTACGATCGACTACCTTCGGGTATCGTCGGTCACCGTCGGCTACCATCGGTTACCATCGGTTGCAGTCGGTTATCTTCGGCTACTGTTGGTTGCCACTTGGTCCTGTTGGCTACTAGTGGATATTGCCGACGACCGGCAATATCCCAGGGCAGGGGGTGACGGCAGTGCCCACTGTGTAGCTTCCCCTTCCCCCTCCCCTCCAGCTCCGATGTTGACACTCTCTAAATACATTTTCGTGCCGCGTCTCGTTTCTTTCCCTTTTCCATGTTTGACAAGACGTTCGCAATTCGGCCACTAATGTTCCCCGCTCTTGCTTCACTCTATATAGACAAACACGTGTCACGACACTTACCGACCAGCCCGCCGATGTTTCGTTCGACTGGACGATGCGGTTTTAGTTTTAGAATTGGGGGATAATGGATTTCGTTGAGGCAGCATGTTGGCACCAACAATACGCGCGTGATACGAACTGTCAGTCGAGGACCATTAACACCGACTACCGAGTCGGTTGCTCGGACGCATAATCAATAATATTAGGTGTATATAGGCTCGCGTATTTTTCCGCGAAGAGATAGATATACTGTAACACTGCGGCGGCGTGCGCTCTCGCGCGAGAAACGCGATGAAATGCATACGGTTGAGTTTGTTTTAATTAGCGTGTGCCACCGTGTTCTCTAAGCGACAGCGTGCGCGCGCTCATTCATTCGTGAGTTCAAAATCGATGAGCAACGTAAACGAAATATTTTTTTGCGGTCGCCGCATATAGCTCGGATAGACGCACCACCATCGTCGTCATCATCATAACCAGCCCGAGCTCGGGAGCCAAATATATTTCGCGTTCGATACGATCACGATTATTTAATTGAGAAGCAAATTAGCATGCCATCTATTATTTAAAGGATTCGCGGGGACGCAAAGAGATCAAGCGTTCGATGGAGGATGCTGCGCGGAAGCGTTTTGGCGCGTGCATGGCTTCGTTCGGGCGGCAGGACGCCTGCTAAGCGATTCGACTTGACATCGGTGCCCTCTGCGTTATATGTATTCAAGAAATTATTGACCCACCGCGGCTGCGGCGAAGCGCTAGCCTCGAGATCATCGGGACGCTGGAAAAAACTGAGGCAGCCGGCTCCCGACGCTGCGACGTGTCGGGTTTAATTCGCGTGAAGAGCCGTGGGTGTATGTGTGTGTGTGTGTGTGTGTGTGTGTGTGTGTGTGTGTGTGTGTG